CTGGAAAGAATGTTCCAGAACAGGCTGAGCTGCTTCAGCATTTCCAGAACGAAGGGGTATGAGACTTAGTTAGCGTGGTTCCAGCATGCAGAATTGTACTGGACTGGAGTTGAAAACCAGCTGTTTTGTCCTCTTGCTTCAGTGAAAGCAGTTGTCAGATCATGCAAGTCTGAATTTGCCACACGTTGAGACTGCAAGCTGGGAGTAAGATGTAAACCAAGGTCGGTAATTACTTGGCCAAAGTGATTCCTTCTTCCCTTTCATTTTTCCTTTTATTTTGCCATTTCTGAAAATAATATAGTACCATTGCTAATCTACTCATTATAATCATTAACTAGAGAATTAGTTTTCCTCTATATTTATGATTTAAAGCCCACTGTAATATTAATTATTATTTGATTGTACCCAGATTCTACAGAACTTTCCAGAAAAATATGACTCCAACTCTAAGGGGAAACAAATACATACAGGAGAAATTCCATTTTGTCATAGTGCTGCAACACTTGTGTTCAAGTAGATAAAGCATGCCTTCCCTTAAGCCTCCCCACCCTAAATCTCACACGTTCAGACTTTTATTTATTTATTTATTTTTGATTTGCCATCTCAGGATCTCTCTTTCCCAGACTAAGTCGTTCATGGAAAGAGTCAATAGTTACTACTCTTCTTTTTCAATAGCCGTCAAAATGTTTTCTGGTTAAACATTAGATGTGAGAGGAATTAACAGTGTGCAGAAAAGATGAGGTGTGTTATGAATTCTCCTTTCTCAGCTACGTCTTGTTTTTTAACTGCCAGCCGCCAAATACCGAAAGATCAGGAAGCCAGCAAAGAAGCCCCACGGTGACCCCACTAGAGCTGCATGTTTCGCTCAGGATTAGAGCGTTGGAAAGATGAGTGGGACTTCAGCTGGCACACAGTAGGAGAGAGAAAATTTCAAAAGCTCCCCATCTTTCTCCTTGTGCCTGGACCTCTGCCTGAGTCCAGGCATATTCTAGTTACTTCTGGGAATGCCAGCTTCTCCCCTGCAACAGAAAACCAATTCAACCACAACATTTAGACCAGCGGATGGCTTCCAGGGAAAATATAAATGATCCACCTGCTGAAGCAAGGAGCTGACATGAACTTGGCTGTATTTGCAGATGACTCACGCTGATGACTTCCTTGTGGCTGTGTCACTGTGCAGCTTCTCATGCCCCTCTAATTGCTGGGCGGACAGCTCAGCAAGACTATGTAGCTTCACTGTCTGTTCCTCTGGGGGACCGCAGGGATCTGTCTCTACCCTGACCCTTGAGCTCTTCCGTTGGTGAAGCTCTGACCTCATTTTCCTGGTAGCCACAATGTTTAACCCACTTCCTCCCTCAAGAAGGCACTGGTGAGTATTTGTTGAGATGAACTCGAATCCAAGGTAACAGATGAACATGGTAGTCTGTCCAGTTGTCTTTTAGGACACAGGTAGGCAGATTTATTTAGAACTAGTCTAATTTTAGAGTATTGCTGGCAAAGTCTAGCTAATGCTAATGTTCCTGCACTAAGTTACTTTGCCTAGATTTATAGAACCTCAGATTTATATGAGGTCTTAAAGGTTACCTGGTCATATATATGCTCTGAATACATTTATGCTTTTTTCTCCTGGGCAGCAGTGGTTCTTAACTCTTCGAAAAGGCACGTATTCTATCACCATCTCACAACGAGAAATCCACTTTTGTCAAATAAAATGTATACTCAGATTTCTAAATGAGTTCTGGATCATGGATGAAAATTCCTTTTCTTTCCTTTTTTTTTTTTAACTTATAAGGGAAAAAGGAAAAGACATAGGAGTGTAATATGACTATCAAGTATTATATAGTCATCTTTACTGGCATTATTTTTAGAAGTAGAAGATATTAGAATGATCTCTTTTTAAATTAAATCAATCAAAGAATACTAAGTCCATATGGTAGAGCATTCTGTGTATATACCACATATACACATTTAATGCTGGATCAATAAGCAGCCTTATTGACTGTGTACCATGCCTTCCTTATTTCTACAGAAAAGGACTATTAAGGACATAGAAGAAAGAGGCACACCCATGAACGTGTAGTAGGAAAGTCAGTTAAAGGAGAAAGAAACGTAAACAGAGAGTAAGGGAAAAACAAAGACCATAAAAGAAAGAACAAAGTGAGGAAATGGGAAACAAAGACAGAAAAGAAGCAGAGGTAGGAATAGAGCCAGAGGAAATTCTGGAAGAGGTAAGAAGAGAAAAAAATGGAGAGAATCAGGAGGAAATGGTGATGAGGGGCAGAGAGGAGGCAAATTAACAAAAGGGAAGCTTAGTGTAAGAGAAACTGTTGTATAATAGTTAAAAAAGATGGACTTTGGAGGCCTATTGTTTAGGTTTAAATACCAACTATACCTCTTACTAGCTGTGTGACCTTGGCTAAGTTACTTGCCTCAGCTTCTCTCATCTGTTCAATAGGAATAATTGCAGTACCTATTTCCAGAGTCACTATCAAGTGCTGGGACCCAGGGAGCTCTGTATCTGCACATTTTTGTTCATTATTGTCTACTGACCCATCACCCACTCTGGGACTCAGGTAGCTCCCAAGTGTCACACCCACTTTCAAAACCAAATAATAGGCATTTGTAAATACCTCACTGATTTTTCAAGTTTTGAACACAAAAGATTTTCTCCTAATACCACACATACCTTTTTTTTTTTTTTTTTTTAGAAGATGTTGGGGGTAGGAGTTTATTAATTAATTAATTTATCTTTGCTGTGTTGGGTCTTTGTTTCTGTGCGAGGGCTTTCTCTAGTTGTGGCAAGCAGGGGCCACTCTTCATCGCGGTGCGCGGGCCTCTCACTATCGCAGCCTCTCTTGTTGCGGAGCACAGGCTCCAGATGCGCAGGCTCAGCAGTTGTGGAACATGGACCCAGTTGCTCTGTGGCATGTGGGATCCTCCCAGCCAGGGCTCGAACCCGTGTCCCCTGCATTAGCAGGCAGACTCTCAACCACTGCGCCACCAGGGAAGCCCATACCTTTTTTTTTTTTCAAAATCAGATAATTGATCTGTTCCAAACATAATTGTAGTGATTAGATTTCCAGAACAATCTAGACTTCAAATATTCTTTCCCACTGTGACTATGAGTAAACCATGTCAGACCATATATGCTTACTTTCTCACATATACAAAAGTGTTTTTGTTTCAACATCTGGGAGAAGAAATTGCCCAGGCTATGAACACAGGAGGGTTAACTCATGTGGCAGTGCTCACTTCTGGAAGTCCTCTAGGCCAAGCCTATACTTGGGTGACCCTATCTCCACTGTGAGCCCAGCCCTCCAAATGAAATCAGTTTATGAAATTCTCATTTGTTTTTCATTTCCGTGCCCCATTCCTCTACCCTCCAACCCCTACCAGCCAACTAATGCCTTCTAACCACTTAGCATTCTCTACTCTGGCATTTCAAATCAACCTTTGAAATACCAATTTGGATGCATGATGTCTTAAAGTAAATTGCTCGCTGATACATCAGCTGTGTTAAAAAGCCGTAAAAGGAGCTTCCCTGGTGGCGCAGTGGTTGAGAATCTGCCTGCTAATGCAGGGGACACGGGTTCGAGCCCTGGTCTGGGAAGGTCCCACATGCCGCGGAGCAACTAGGCCCGTGTGCCACAACTACTGAGCCTGCGTGTCTGGAGCAACAAGAGAGGCCCGTGCAACAGCGATGAAGAGTGGCCCCCGCTTGCCACACTAGAGAAAGCCCTTGCACAGAAACGAAGACCCAACACAGCCCAAAATTAATTAATTTAAAAAAAAAGAAATTCTGACTTCCTAACTGCAAGGAAGTCAGAATTAAAAAAAAAAAAAAAAAAGCCATAAAACAAGTCAAGGTAGGTTTAAAGTCTGGATAAATGCAATGTCTGTCTTGGACAGCTCAGACATTCAGAATTCACACAGTCATAAAACAGACAGAACAAATACCATGGTCTGGCTCTGACAGATTTCTCCACTGCTGTGACAAGCATAGAATCATTTACTTGAAAAATTGATATGTTTTTGTCATTATTATTTTCAAAATTGTGCCTTTGGTGGAATTGACTCAGGGTAGAGTACAAAATTAAAACTAATTAAAATGCATAAAACACAGAATGGCAACAGTAATTAAACAACTTAATCCCTCCCCTACCCCCCAGGGTAATCCAACACAAAACTTCATGGGAATCTTCCAGTTGAGAAATCCCAAGGAGTTACTGAAAGTTCACTCTGGCCCTCATATGGTAAGTGTTAGTTCTCCATTGTATCTCAGCTTCTACACCATTCTCCGCAATTTGTAAAATGTAACAAATAAATATGAACTCTTTGAACTGGGTACTCCTTAAGGATGCTCTCAGACATCTCATCATCCCCTCTTAAACGGGTGTAAGTGAGCAAAGAGGAGGTGATTTTATCCCTTGCTGCTTCCTTGAAAGCTTCTCTCACTTGCCAGGGAGCTTTGAACTATCTAGAGATACAGATCTGGGAAAGAAAGGGAGCAGGGACTAGTATAAAAAAATAAAATACGGGCTTCCCTGGTGGCGCAGTGGTTGAGAGTCCGCCTGCCGATGCGGGGGACGTGGGTTCGTGCCCCGGTCCAGGAAGATCCCACATGCCGTGGAGCGGCTGGGCCCGTGAGCCATGGCCGCTGAGCCTGCGCGTCTGGAGCCTGTGCTCCGCAACAGGAGAGGCCAAAAGAGGGAAGGGCCCGGGACCCGCAAAAAAAAAAAAAAAAAAAAAAGTAAAATATTAAAGAAATAGACAGGTGTGTTTCAGAGAATTGTCTTTGGGGATAAGGGTGTAGTGAAGAGCAGATACAGGTGAGTCCCACTAGTTCTCAGTGCCCGTACCTGATTTTCTGCAGGGGCTGTTCAGCCATAGCTTTTTAATTGAGAAATTTTACAATTAAAATTTAATTGTAAAATGGAAATTGTATTTCAAAATATTCTGTGTATTGTATATGGATGTGTGTATACATGTGTAGATGCATTTATATACATTTTACGTGTACATATAATTATGTATGTATATTATATACACCTGTGTACACAGTACCCAGCTAAAAAATTAAATATTAACATTTGCTGAAATCCCCTGTATCCCTCCCTGGTCTCTGAGCTCATTCTCCTCCACACACACAGAGAAGAGCCTCACCTGTGTCTGGGTGTTCTGAACATTCCCGCGTATATTATACAGAGAGGATTGTTTTGTATGTTTGTATATTTCTTTCAACTCCTATGTAGAATTCCATGAGCATTTATTTAGTTTTTTGATTCAAGGCCACCTTCTGTTATTGACCCATCATTTACCAGGATAATATTTCCTGCCACCAAGAAGCTGTAAATGAAATGATATGTTTTGGAGTTAAGGAAACGAAAGAAAAGCATATTTCCTAGCAGCAATGCAAAGGTCCGTAAGGGCAAGAGTGACACATTTTTTTAGGGCACCATCATATTTCCAGTTCCTAGTGCAAATGCCTGGTGTATAGTTGGCGCTCAGTGAATATCTGTCATCCTGTGAAGACAGGAAGAAAGGAGTCAGGCTGTTTTCACTGCCTGATGCTGTTCCCGCTGGTGGTGCAGTTTCAGTGCCAAAATCAGCCCTTTATTCCAACAACATATTAATGGCAGGGAGTGATTTCAGTTGAGGAAATCTGCAATGCATTTTGGGGTGTAACCAGAGAAACAATGCAACTATTACAGTCCTCTAAACGCTAGTAAAATGTAGCCACGCAGGGCTTCGGTCCATTACCGTGGCGTTGAAGAGAACTGGAGGAATTGTTAGGCAAGAGGCTAAATTCTCTCGTTTGAATGATTTGATTCCCTTGAAATACAAGGTCACATATGGTCAATTTCATTCTTTCTACTCATAAAGAAGTCCAGATCAAAACAACTGAATAGAACCCAAATTTCACAGTTCTTTTCCCTCCAGGCCCAACTCAAGCTCAGAGGCATCGGTGACTGATGATTTTTATGACAAGCTCCAGTATTGGCATAATGGGGTCCCTCAGTTAGTTTTAAGGCCCTTTCACTAGCGATATAACAGTTCTGTTGTTGGCAGCGTTCGGTGACATCACGGTAGTAAAACTCAGCAAAGCAAGAAGATTGTCTTGGTGTCGAAGTGGGAATTCTGCCTCAGCCGGCCCCACGGCCATCCTGTGTTCTTTGTTTAAACTTAGTATCACGCTGCTCTGGCCGTACCCAGTCATGGGCTCTGATAAATGTGCCAGCCACTCATTCGCCACTGCTGCTTCCAGCTAAGAAACACCACTCGGCCCTGACATTGGGTCACCGGCATTCTCTTTCACTCTGGCTTTCAGGATCAGTAGCTCAGATGTTCACATCTATGAGGGCCTTTGATGAGTGCTCGAGGCAAGTAGACATGAAATGTCACCACCAGAAATGGGTCCCTTTATATAGCAAAGGAATTTCTATCTTCATTAGATTCTTCTCAAAATCTGAATACTCGCAGGAAAGGTTAAACAGCTGTCTGTGAGAGGAGGCATGTGTGCTGATATCACACGCCCAACTCCTTCACGTGGAGCTGACTGGATCCCCACTGCCCACTGGACCTACCTCAACCACAGGCCAAGTGTATGAGGCTCACGTCCTCAGCTACTGGGCTCTCTCAGGCACAGAGCAACACGCTCCGAGGCCCAGGCAGCCTCAGCAGATGTGGAGAGCAGAGGCAGGCATGGGCTTAGCTATCCACCATCTGTGTTGGACCAAGAAAGGAAAATTGTTCACTCACCCACCCATTTCCCTCAAATGTTATTAAAAGTCATCAAGAGGAGAAATCAATGGAGCATAACTGGGCCACTGTAGAGACAGAATGTTACTATAAACATCTGCAGAAAAGAACAAAAATACCAGTCTCCCTAGGCAAGATGCAGACAAGAAAATGCCTTTAGCAGGAGGTAAATATATGAAGTCACGTCCTCAGAAAGTGGCAGCTCAGCTTCCAGATATCCTAAAGGAAGGAGGAACTTTGCAGAAGATGCTTTGCTCCTCTCCTGGCCGCACTCAAACCCAGGCGTTTTCAGTGAATCGACTCTACTTTTATTCTGTCTCTTCAGCATCTTGGAAAATTAAAAACAAACAAGATGATCTAGGAATTTGGTTCTCAGAGAAGCTGAAAGTGATCCTTGAAGGCCCCTGAATTGAGTGCCATTTCTGTACCCAGCTTCCTTCTCCAAAGGTTAGCAGAGCAATGGAGCTGTTCAATTTTCCTGCCCTCAGGGCAGGATTTCCTCCTTGTTAACTAGTTAGGGTTCCTAAGTTTTCAAAATCTGTTGTTCGGTCTCTACTGAATTCAGGCCATTCTCCATTTCCTCAATTAAAGTCGACCAAGAACTTTCTTTTCCTCACAGAGGTCTTGTGACTTCTAATTGCTCTGCCAAGGGTCCCCAAAGTCCCTTTAGAGCCATTTCCACCAGCCGTCTCCCTGGGTCTCACAGCCTGCTCTGCGTGATGCGTGGACCTAAGCTGATTCTGGCCACCTGAGGGGCCCGTGGGGCATCCTTCCAGGTAGCAGCCTCTTTCACCCCATTGTTTAAATCTGTGAACATTCCAGGGAGAGCTGACCTCACCAGCCCTTTTTGAAAAGTCTTAATGACAGCTTCTCTAAACTAGTTCAACAGGAATAAATCCTCCCACTTCTCCCGAGTATCACTTATTTACTGCCTGTGCCTCTGCTCTGAGCCCTGAGAGAAAGGTTTTGATCATCAGGCTTGTTCAGCAAGTGTTTCTCAAGAGTGGGTTCTGTAGAACGTTCCTTCTTCCGAATATTAATACGTGTCACCTGCTACAAACCTGCTCCCCCCTCACATGTACACACCTACACATGCACATATCGTGTAGCTATGCATGCTGCATATAATACCTACACACACTTCTTCTTGCACACACATATGCCCTGCATGCCACCTGCATGGTGGTCAAATAAGTAGAGAAGACCCAAATCAATGTAAAACCAATATTCTGCATCAACTCATCAGAGCCTTCATATACTAATGTGCATTATAAATCTTTAAAAATAGCGTCTTAGTATTGAGTATTTCACAACTTATTTAAATAGAGTTGTTTCGTTGTGGAGAGAACCTAAAATGGATGAGTGTACCACGGAACACAGTTTGCAGAAAATTCTATTAGAAGAAGAAAGGCCACTAACACATCTAATACTGGGACGATAGTAATGATTACTTTTAATAATATTAAAAACAAAGATTTTCAAAAGCTCTGAGAGATTAGGTCAGGGGTGGACGAATTATGGACCACAAGCTGAATCTGTCCTGTGGCCCGTTTGTATACAGCCCTCCAGCTAAGGATACTTTATATTTTTAAAGGGTTGTGAAAATAAAGTAAATTAAAACAAGTCAAAGAAAAATAAAACAAACAGAAAAACAAAGAATATGCAACAAAGACCATATGGGGCTCACAAAGCCCTTGACAGAAAAGTTTGCTGTAGCCATTAGCCATCTGTTATTTAAATTTTAATTCATTAAAATGAAGGGAAATTAAAAATTCAGTTTCTCAGTTACATTAGCTATATTTCAAGTGCTCAATGTCTACATATAGTTAAAAGCTACCATGTTGAAAAATGCAGATAGAGAACATTCTCACGACTGCAGCAAGTTCTATTGCATTTGTACTGGTCTAGATAAACTTTCTGTCAAGGTTTGAGGTAGCACTGTTCGGGCTTATTTCTAGTATAAAGTTTCTTTCTTGTTGCTTTGATTAAGGAATTTGACTGAAGTGGTGTGGACAGTATGAGTCATGCAAAAAAGAGTCTTGGCTGGTTTCTGACAGATTTCCACATGAATAATTTTGCCCCTTGTATGTTGTTCTCCTTTAGCTCCTGGAAACTAGATCTGTGACAGCCCCACCATGCCCCCAGGTCCTGAGACAAGCTAGTAGTTGACAGGAAGATTCTCCCTGGCCAATACTTGCATGGTGTCCAGCCTGGAGTTATTTTGGCTTACCTCCTGTCCCCTTCAAGTTCCTGCCAGCCTCTCTATGTCTCTTTGTTTCTTGAGTTTCCCTTCCTTCCTCCTTCCCTGCTAAAATGTAATTCCTTTCTCTTTATGATTCAGACCAATTGTGTTCCTCACCTCATCCTTGGAACTGGATCTGTATTTACATATCTGAAGACTCATACTCGGTTAAACAAAGTGTCATCCTACTAAATTACCCTTTAGTAATATGGAAGAATTGGCCAAAGCCTTGAAATCTCCTTTCTTTTCCTTTTTCCCACCAATATCCATAACTGTTGATGGAATAGTATCAACACTTAGTTCCTTACAGATATATATCATGTCTTCACTCATTAGAAGGTTAAGTGCAAAATTTTTGTTTAAATGGCCCCCTTGCTATACTGAGAATGAGTTCTCATCAAGGGCGAGGAGAAGATGCAAAAAAGGAAGGGGGTCAGCACCACAGAATGTCATGGAAATAAAAGAGGATGAAGACTATGCCAGGCAGTTCTATGGAGCTTCTGAGAATTTCTTTAATACGCTATTTTAGTACAGTGTTGGTTGTTGAGAAACGGGTAGGTGTGAGTATAAACTATAATTTTAAGGACTTTAAGGATGAAAGAAGATAAAAGGGCATAATATTCAAGTAAATTTTATTATTTTAAGATAGAACAGACTGTAATATATAGACTCCAGGGGAGAAACCAGTGGTAAGAAGGAGAAAAAAAAATTATTATACTGTGAGAAATCAAATATAAGCTTGTACAATGGGCAGGTGTAGGGTCAGAATTTATACTGCATATGGGGTTCAGTGAACACTAACCAGGTCATTAAAATGAAATCCCATCCCAAAACCAAGGAATACCTGGGGATACTGCAGAAGAAATAGAAAATTGTTCTGTAAGGGCACATCTATAACTCAGGGCCCATAGACAGCAATTCCTTGAATTCACAAAGAACAAAATTAAGTCAAATAAAAAACACAGACTAAGATTAATAGTCAGAATAAAAAAATCAAATCACATGAAGGAATAAATAACCACAAGAGAGACTTTGTAGATACAATAAAAGGGAAAATTGGTGCTCTACAATCTAGAAATGACAGAAAAACCTTTATAAGTCTTTATAATATTAATAAAATAGGTCTGTTCAAAACGAATAATAAAAAGGATAATAGAAGCAATAGAAACCATAAAAAATATAAAGGATTCCTAAAAGTGAAATATGTAGCCATTGAAACTCAAAATTCATTGAAGAGATTAAATAGATTAAATAAACACAGCTTTAAAAAGAAAAGAATTCAAAACTGGAAGATTGATTTAAAAAAGCACAGGCAGAATGTAAAATAAAGTGATAAAGATGTGGAATATATGAAAGAGAGGTTAAAAGACACTGAAGTGATTTCTGCTTCCAGCCAAGATGGAATAACAGGAACCAGACTGACTCTCCCAACTGACTCTCCCAACTGTTCTTTTTTTAAAAAGAACAAAATATAGAAAATCTGAGATACATGAAACAACAGATTTCAACACACTTGACACCA